TATATATATATATATATATATATATATATATTGTATTGATCAACTCAACACCTCCATCCCTAGGGGTGTTCACCCTATCCTACGGGTAAGAAATATGATTTTTCGTCTTCCTACCCGATACTTTGTGGAAGAATTTTTTTTTGGCCTACCTTACCCTATCAAGTGTGATATTCTTACCCGACTTCTGGCCAAATTAATAGGTTAGAAAGTCGGGTAGAAAATCGGGCCAATACTTTTGTAATTATTAATTTTTGGTTCATTTTAACAATTCAATTAAATAACATGCACCAATTTAATAACACAATAAACCAATAATACTAAAACTTAACACAATTACAACAATAATTACAATAAAACACAAGAATGTATAAACATCAATCCATCATAATTGTTGTATAAATATAATAACAATTATTTTAAGTTTAAACCATATGGTTACGAAATTAGGGTTTTTAATATATATATATATATATATATATAAATGCGGGTAGGGTAGGGTAGGAATACGGAAATTAATGGTCATTCTGCATTCCTACTCGATTTAATCGAAAAACCAAAAACTATTCCGCATTCCTACCTAATTTTTTTAGCTAGTCGTTCAATAGAGTCGAATAAGATAAAAAATGACGATTAATCAGAAATTTGAACACCCAGAACCCACACTAACCCTTGTCCTATTTAATATGCACCACCCACTGAATATTATTGTGAAAAGATCAAGTGGAAAGTTGGCTTTGAAGAGTGGTTGAGACTCCTTTTTGATTCAGGAGGATACAAGAAGCATTCCAGACATTAATATGGTGGAGATCAACACAAGAAATGATATATAAAAGTTAACAAGAAATCTATTTTATATTGTGACATCACAAAACGGTATTAAAAAATATACGAGTCAATAATGATGCTCAAAAAATTCAGCGACTATATGACTCCTAATCGATGACGATGCTCAAATAATTTGGTGGATAGATGACTCCGATTCAATCATAGGTCAAGTAAAACTCATAATTTACACTAAAAATAAAATGATATTGGATCAAATGTATCAAGTCAGGACCTAGTTACATCAAATTAGATCCGACTTGACCCACTCTTTCAAGCCTAAGTGTATTATTCCATCACTGTCACCCTTTTCACTCCCTTAGAATTGAGACGATTTGGTGATAGCAAATCATACCAGAATTGAGACGATTTGGGGATAGCAAATCATACCAAATACACGAAAAGTTCTATGGTACCGCTGGCAATACCGATATCAAAAATTATAATTTTTTAAAATTAAATTACAACTTTTTTGAAGTATAAGTTACAACTTCAAAGAGTATGATCGATCATGAAATATTTGAATCAATACTGTATTTTTTATGATCGATTATTGATATTTGTATTTGATCATGACCTCCCCTAAACAGTTATAACATTTCCTTTTAAAGTTATAACTTCACCGCACAAAATAGTAGCCGACGGTACCAGTACCAATTTTTTTATTTTTGGGTACCATATAGTTTCCCCAAATACACACATGAGCAAAGAGAGGTTCCAACAGATGTTAAGGTTTGTGAGCAAACAACAGTTCTAAGAGACATTGACCATTAAAAAAAATTTGTCACTTAAGTTACACTTGCCAATATAGATAAAGTTCTAATCCAAATCTGTCCAATCGGGCATTTTAGTTATATAATTGAGAGAGTATCTTGAACTAGTCTAGAAATTTTCCTCACAAAAATACTAAGACAATAATGTGAAACTCTTAGTCCCATGTCCAATACAAAATACAAAACACTCGGCATCCATTACTTACACTTTGGTATGAGAAGAACCTCTGGACTTTTTCATCTGTGAACTAGGGAAGGCACTAGTTCAACTGCCATGGATAATCTAATCTGAGGGACCAATACCAAACAAGAACTGCTGGAATAATGGGGTTGTTGCCCTGATTTGGTTCTTCTTCATTGGCACCATTCAGAATCTCTGGAATACATGATGCCCATGACCAACAGGCGATTGCATCGGAGAGTTCTATAACCAGTAAATTCACAATGTTAAGGACAACATCAAGTATGGTGTCATTGAACTGAGATCCGTGACCATAATTTGAAAGATGAGGGTCAAAATGAGTAGGTAAGACGAATTCAATCAAGTTTTCCAGAATTTAACATTTACCTGAACTAAATTGCAAGTCAGACAATTGCAAACTGAATAATGCTAGATGGACTTAAAAATTACACTTGATAATTTCAACCATTGAATAGGTAGTGAGTCCCAATAAATATTGGGACCCACAGTGAAATCAATAATTAAAATTATCAAATCTAATTTTTAAGTCTACTTTTTTGATGGAGAGTAAGCAATTTTCAGATACATAATATGTAGAAACTATGTTATTCTCCTTTGTCTTTTTTGGAAAAAAACAACACAATTTACGACAGCCGGGTCACAATTCAAGAACAAAAGCATAAAAAAAGTAATATGCCCATGCCCACATTTCGAGCCACCTGCATGCCATTAACATTAAAGACTGCAAATATATATATATATATATATATTCTTAGTCTATGAAAGAAAAGAAGAGAACTTCTGGTACATACAAAGAACCCTCAGCAGGTTGTTTATCTAAGTTTTTTCTATTTTTGTTTACTGGAAACAAAGAACAAGAAAAAGAATTTAAGTGAGTTATTTGGAAGAAACTCAGAACTCCAAGGACACCAGTAGGTGTTAATAATTCTGAATGGAAGATGATTTCTTTATTGCTTCTAACTTTATTTATACATCAAGACTCCATACTTAAACGCTAGAAAATAGGAACTACTTATCAACTTATATTCAAAACTAACTACAGAAGACTTGGACTTCTAATCCCATAAAATCAAGACACCAAAACAGTCCACGATTGACTTATTCAACAAAAGACTCCTATGATAATGACCCACTACTTGCTGCAATCGTAACATTCCTTCCCCCTTAATTTTGGCCCTTGTCCTCAAGGGCATAGTCTGGAAATTGCTGCTTCATTTGATGCAAATCTTCCCATGTCGCTTCTGCTGGAGAGAGCCCCTGCCAGTGGACTAATATCTGTTTCCTTCTTTTTATCACCCGATTATCCAAAATTGCTTGCGGCCTTGGCGAAGGAGTGTCATTTTCTTCACTGACTAGTGGCAATTGCGGCTGCGCCAAAATTCTTTCTCCAAGCTTCTTCTTAAGTAAGGAGACATGGAATGTTGGGTGGATACGAGACTCTGCAGGCAGCTCCAACTTGTATGCCACGGGTCCATAGTACCGTGGAGAAAGCTTGTGATTTCTTTTCATAGACAAAGAAACTTGCCTGTATGGTTGCAGCCTCAAATAAACCCAATCTCCTTCTTCAAATGCTATCTCTCGATGGTGAGAATCATAAACCCGTTTCATTCAGGCTTGTGCTTCTGCAAGATTTTTTTGGAGGTCCTTGAAAATCTTATCACGGTCTAACAACTCTTGCTCTACTGCAGCTACCTTGGCAGTCCCTGGTATATACAATATTAAGGTCAGAGGTGGTCTTCCATACACAGCTTCGAAAGGAGTTTTCCTTGTCGCTGAATGCCAACTTGTGTTATAACAGTATTCTGCCCATGACAACCATTTACCCCAACTCTTGGGTTGAGAACTCGTGAAACACCTCAAATACATTTCCAAGGTGCGATTAACTACTTCGCTCTGGCCGTCGGTTTGAGGGTGGTAGGCGGAGCTGAAGTTGAAGCTAGTTCCATTCAAACGAAATAACTCAAGCCAGAAAGCACTTGTGAACGTCGGATCCCTATCACAGACAATTGATCTTGGTAGCCCATGATACTTGAATACATGATCAAAGAAAGCTTGAGCAATATTAGAGGCTGTATCAGGATGAGTAATAGGAATGAAATGTGCGCACTTTGTGAATCGATCTACCACTACCATTATAGTTGATTTGCCTTTGGAATTTGGCAAACCATCTATGAAATCCATAGAGATATCCTCCCATACTTGACTAGGAATTGGTAGAGGTTGAAAAAGACCGGCTGGGGAAAGTTGTTCAACCTTGTGTCACTGACATGTATCACACCCCTTAATGAATTCCATGATTTGGTGCCTCATACCCTTCCAATAAAAATTAGATCTGATTATGTGGAGAGTTTTTTGGAAACCTTCATGGAAGTTGTTGTGGAATTGACCAATGATTTCCTTGATTAAGGGAGAGTCTTCTACAAGATATATCCTTTCCTTAAAAAATATTATGCCATCTTGATATCTCGAAGGACCCACTGCTTCCCCCTCCTCAATTAACTTCACCAAAATTTGCAAATCAGAATTTGAAATAACTTCCTCCTTAATTGTCTCAATCCAATTGAGAATAGGATGAGAAAGTGCTGCCAATTCTCCCTTTTCTTCTCTTCTAGACAATGCATCAGCTACAATATTTTCTTTTCCTCTTTTGTACTCAACGATGAAGTCAAACCCCATTAGCTTATACAACCACCTTTGTTGAGCTATGGTTGAAATTTTCTGAGACCACAAGAACTGGAGACTCCTGTGAACTGTTCGCACAATAAACCGATGACCCAACAAGTAGGGACGCCATTTTTTTACTGCTAGTACCAATGCCAAAATTTCCTTCTCGTATGTGGACAACAACAAATGTTTCCCCTGTAATGCTCGGCTATAGAAAGCAATAGGTCGTTCTTGCATTAACACTGCTCCTACACCAGACCCAGATGCATCACACTCCACAATACATTTTTTCGAGAAATCTGGAAGAGCTAAGACAGGTGCCTTTGTCATTGCCTCCTTCAATTTCTTGAAAGCTGCCTCTGCGATTGGACTCCAAGAAAATGAATTCTTTTTTAACATTCGGTTAAGAGGGGCTGCTATCTTTCCATAATCTTGAATGAACTTTCTACAGTATCCAGTCAACCCAAGAAATCCACGCATTGCCTTCACTGAGCTTGGTTTTGGCCCCTCCACCATGACTTCAACCTTCTCAGCATCCACTGCGACCCCCGCCTCTGAGATGACGTGCCCCAGATATTTGACTTCCTTCTGTCCGAACTGGCATTTTTCTCTTTTAACAAATAGCTGGTGAGACTTGAGAATTGATAACATGGTCTCTAGATGATAAAGGTGTTCATCCCAAGACTTGCTATAGATTAAAATATCATCAAAAAACACTAGAACAAATTTTCTCAAGTATTCCTTAAATACCTCATTCATCGAGGCTTGAAAGGTGGACGGTGCATTAGTGAGCCCGAACGGCATCACCAATAATTCGTAATGGCCATGATGTGTTCTGAATGCCGTCTTTGGAATGTCTTTTGAATATACTCTAATCTGGTAGTAGCCTGATCGCAAGTCGAGCTTAGTAAAGAACTTGGCCCCGTTCAACTCATCCAATAATTCATCAATCACCAGTATCGGGAATTTATCCTTGATAGTTTTTTTGTTGAGAGACTGATAATCAACGTACATTTGCCACGAGCCATCATGCTTCTTCACCAAAATCACTGGCGATGAATATGGACTATTGCTCGGACAACTTATTCCAGTAGAAAGCATTTCTGCTACAAGTTTTTCAATCTCTGCCTTTTGATAATGCGGGTAACGGTATGGCTTCGCACAAACAGGTCTACTGCTTGGAAGCAAGGGAATCTTGTGATCATGGGTATGGTGGGGTGGCATGCCTTGAGGGTTTTCAAAGATTCTTGTAAATTTCCCCAATAATTCATGAAGGAGTGGGTTACCTACTGCGTATTTGCTTCTGGCTGTAGTACCTCACATGCAAAAACTTGGACTAGCACTCCTCTCTTTGTCTTTCTATTTTCTTTGCACAATTCCACACACCCCACAACTTTATCAGCTGGATGAGACAGACCTTGGAGGCCCACCTGTGTTCCATTAAGGTGAAACTTCATCACCAACTTGGAGAAGTCCCAAAGGATTTCTCCTAATGTATGTAACCACAGGGTCCCCAACACCACATCATAACCTTCTAAAGGAATTATATATAAATCCACAAAAATGGAAAATCCTTGCAGATTTATATTTACACCAGTGCACTTCAGTGCACTTACCCAAGCTTACCAACCTTTCTCCAGAAGCAACTATGACATGCAATTGTTTGCTATTATTTGGCTGCAGTCCCACTCTTTTTGCTACTGTTTCACTCACAAAATTGTGAGTGCTTCCAGAATCCACCAGCACGATTGCTCCAACTCCATCCAAGCTCACTTTTACTCGCATGGTTTCTAGGCCACGAGCGCCGGTTATGGCATGTAAGGAAATTTCTGGGACCCTCTCGCCATCTTTTCCTCCGTCTTCTACTTCCATGACAATATCATTATCTTCTTCTTCCTCTTCATATGCCTCTATCACAAAAAGTTTCTTGCAACGATGGCCTGACCGCAATTTTTCATTGCAATTGTAACAAAGCCCCTTCTCCCTGCACTCCTGTAATTCTGCAGGAGACATCCTGCGAATCGGAAATGATGGTCGATTGATGGTTGCACCTTTACTCACTTTGCCACCTCCTTTGGTTTCAGAAGATGCTGCCCGTCGCAAGGATAAATTTCGCGCCTCGTACAGCCGAGCCAAACCAATTGCCGCAGACAAGGTTGTAGGTCGCCCTGCCTGAACATCAGCTCTGATATTGTCCTTTAGCCCGGTCACAAAGCAACTCATTTGTCGACCTTGTGGTAAATTACCCACTTTTGCAAGGAACTTCTCAAACTGTGTTTGATAGTCGGTAACTGAACCCAATTGTTGAAGTTTCGTTAGCTCACCAAAAAAATCATAAAATTGAGTAGGACCATATCGTGAGTAAAGCCCTTCTTTAAAATTTTCCCATGACACCACACCAACTTCCTGTTTAAGGAGTTCGTACCACAACTGTGGTTCACCCCTCAAGATGGAATGATGCTAGAGCCACTCGTTCCTCCCCCGACGTATCATGGAATTGGAAGAATTGTTCGGCTCGACAAATCCAACTGGTGGGGTCTTCTCCCCCCATTGAAACGAGGAAAGTCAAGCTTCACTAACTTGGGAGCATAAGATAGGTTGGTGACTTGAGAATTGACTGTCCTCTTTCCATTCCCCTTTGAATGATCATAGGAACCTTCACCCTCAACATCTCCGGTTGAATGACTTGAACGTTCGTTGAGCCTCTGGAAGAGTTCGGTTATCTTCTCAATTATTTGTTGTTGTCCCACAATAAGGGAACTCACGTTGTGCTCTAGCTGCTCCACTCTTTGGTCCATGCCTAAGTTGTGATACCACTTTGGTACATACAAAGAGCCCTTAGCAGGTTGTTTATCTTAAGCTTTTCCTATTTTTGCTAACCGGAAACAAAGAACAAGAAAAAGAATTTAAGTGAGTTATTTCGAGAAAACTCAGACCTCCAACGACACCGGTAGGTGTTAATAATTCTAGATGGAAGATAATTTCTTTATTGCTTGTAACTTTATTTATACATCAAGACTCCATACTTAAATGCTAGAAAATAGGAACTACTTATCAACTTATATTCAAAACTAACTACAGAAGATTTGGACTTCTAATCCCATAAAATCAGGACACCAAAACAGTCCATGATTGACTTATTCAACAAAAGACTCCTAAGATAATGACCCACTACTTGCTGCAATCGTAACAACTTCTGAAAAAAAATAGGTTTTAAACTTGCAAAATTTACCACCACGGCCATCGCTATGTTGCTGAGTTTGTTGATATCTTGCTCAGAGTTGGCCCTTGGTATGACATTTCCTGAGAAAGTACACGAGCACTTTTTGACAGAGCATCTACTGTCAAACTGCAATCAACATAAATTTTCTTACTTCAAGTCTTCAATGCCCTAGTTTCCAGTTTCACCGAGGCATTCATCCATAGAGATAAAGAGATGCGTGCTTTTGAATTTGTGCTATTCAAGCCCTTGTCAATCTCTTTAGGCAATGCAGTGTTCGAACCATGTAGAACTATCTTAAATGTATTAGAATTCTTTGGGCTTTGATTGAAAGGTGGATATTTTCCTACTGCAATTTCTTTTTGCTTAAAGGAGAGGGATGCATCACCATCCTGCTCATAGAAAATGCTTGTGTGCTGATTCGGATTCTCTGCTTTCAACATGATGTTATAGTCCAGATGTTGCCAATGATGATTGTTAAGTGTAGAGAATTAACACAATATTAGAGAGAAAGAGAGAGGTTAAAAAACTTAACCTAACTCTCATATATCAATTGTATTTATAGTTAACTCACAATAATAAGAATTACACATATACCCTCTTACTAATAACAATTTACACATACTACCTTAATATTCTTAACACTCCCCCTTAAGTTGAACTATATATATCACATAATCCAAGATTGGAACAAATCGCTATAAGATGTGTACGACTCAATGCTTTGGTAAACATATCTGCAAGCTGATCTTCAGATTTCACAAATGGAGTTGTAATCTCCCTAGCTACTATCTTGTCCCGAATGAAGTAACAATCAATTTCAATATGTTTGGTTCTTTTGTGAAACACCAGATTGACAGTGATATGGATAGCTGCCTAACTGTTACAGAACAACTATAAAGGAAGTTGAACTGGAAACCCAATTTTCTGGAAGAAGCGTAGTAGCCAAGTCAACTCACTCGTCGTATGCGTTATTGCCCTATACTCAACCTCAGTATTGGATCTTGCTACCACGGATTGTTTCTTACTTTTCCATGAAACAATGTTGTCTCCTAAAAAAGTACAATAACCAGTGGTTGATCTCCAATCAGAAGGAGAGTCAGTTTAATCAACATCTGAGAAATCTTCTATTCTAAGATGTCCATTAGCTCGATATAACAGTCCAAGTTCAGGAGCACATTTGAGATATCACAGAATACGAGTAACTGCCTCCCAATGTAGTACTCTAGGACACCCCATGAACTGACTTACTATACTGAGTGCATAGGAAATATCCGGTTGAGTAATAGTGAGATAATTGAGCTTTCCAACCAATCTACGATATCGACCTAGATTTTCAAATAGTGCACTATCATCCATCAAAAGTTTTTAATTCAGATCCATAGGAACATCAATAGGCCTGTCACCCAGCAAACCCGCTTCCTCTAGCATGTTAAGTACATATTTCCTTTGAGATAAACAAATACCCTGTTTAGATCGAGCCACCTTAATACTCAAAAAATATCTTAGTTTCTCAAATTCTTAGTATGAAATCGATCCCGCAAGAATATTTTTAAGTTGGCAATCCCCTCAGAATCATTTCCAATATTCACAATATCAGTTACATAGACCACCAATAGAATATATCCAGCATCTGTCTGTCTATGAAACACAGCATGATCTGTCTGACATCGAAGAAGACCAAACTCTAAAACTGCATCTGAAAACTTATCAAACCATGCTCTCGGTGACTGTTTCAAACCATACAAAGAGTTCTTTAACCGACATATACTCTTATCATACTCTCCCCGAGTAGTAAACCCAGGTGGCTGCTCCATGTATACCTCTTCAACCAAGTCACCATGTAGGAAGACATTTTTGATGTCTAACTGAAACAAGGGTCAATCAAGATTAGTAGCCAAAGAAATCAAGATATGAACAGAGAAAATTTTGACAACAGGAGAGAAAGTCTCATCATAATCAACATCATAAATCTGAATAAAGCCCTTTGCAACAAGCCGTGCTTTGGGACGCTCCACAGAACCATCTGAATAAAATTTAACAGTATACACCCAACGACAATCAACAGTTCGTTTACCAGGAGGTAAATGAACGAGATCCCAAGTCCTATTATGATGTAAGATATCCATCTCCTCCTTTATAGCTTTCCTCCAACCCGGATTAGATAATGCATCCTGTAAATGCTTAGGAATAGATAAAGTAGATAATTGGGAAGTAAAACAAGAGAAGACCGGAGACAAGGCATCATATGAAACAAAATGAGCAATGAGACGATTAGTAACACATGAACGAGTACATTTTCGAAGAGCAATATGTAAAAAGTCTAAATTATCGGATGTACCAGGATCAGAAGGCGGCAAGGAAGACGATATGAGCACCTCAGTCGATGGTCGAGGACAACGAGAATAGACATGGAGAGGTAAAGTAGATGGTAACACAGTGGGCAGTAGAATATTTAATGATGAGGAAAGAGATGGTGGTACAAGAGATGACCAAAAATCCAGATCAGGGTTACCTGAAAACGTAAGACCCCCTTCGACCCCCGATCTGGGTCGCACGACCCCAAACGTGGGTCATTTACGACCTGGATCGCTCAAATCTCCGACCCCTATCAAACCAATTACTAAATAAAGACTCAGAATCTCATACTCAAATCCCTAATACAAGCCCTAAACCCATATCAAACCAAATAAATGTAAAAATTAGAAATTGCACAGAATAAGCTATAATAGGCCAAACCGAGTGAAGAATGAAGATTAGATTACATACCCGATGGAACCCACAAAGCTTTTCAGGTCGCGTTATTTTCAGATGTCGTTCGTTTGCCTCGATCTGCTATGGATGGAACCCACAAACCGATCTCTACCTCGATTTGCGATGGAACCCACAAACCGTGAGAACCATTCTAATTGCGTTCGTTTGCCTCGATCTGCTATGGATGTCGTTCGTTTGCCACGATCGACAGTCGCCAGCGAACGCTACTTCCTGTTGGGTTTCCATCGAAGACTGGTTCTCTCTCTCTCTCTCCTTCGACTTTGCAAGTCGCAAGTCGCAACTTGCAACTCGCAGAATGGTCGATCGATCAATCAATCTCCGTCTCTCTCAGTGTGTACTTGGACGATTGTTCTCTATTTTTCTCTATTTTTCTTTCTCTCTCTCTCTCTCTTATGTATATAGTGTTAATATTATAATTGAAAGAAGCATAACCGAACCGACTTTGACAAAGAAAAGATAAACAAACTGAGATATAAAAAGGTAAAAACGTGTTCAGCACTCTAGTATTTTTTTGGTAAAAAGACGAAAAAAATCCTTTATTTTACTGTACATATTACCACACAAGAAGGATAAAAAAATAAAAATACTTATAATTCTACCCAAGGCGGTGCTTTATTGTACGACTACACCTTGCTGTACTCGTACGCAACTAGCAGCATATATACATATATATATATATATATATATTTTTTTTTTCTTGATTTTTACCCTAAACTATACCGCCTCTTTTTTTTTTTTTTTTTTTTTCTTTTTCTGTCCTTTTTGTTCATTCAATATTTCTTTACTGTATTGGATTTTTCTTACTTAAAAACATGATTTTTGGAAAAAGAAGGAGGGAAGAACAAGACTCTTCACAAGTTGAAGAACAATTCGAAATTAATATCCAAAATTTAGATGATTCTGCTAATGAACAAGAAGTTGAACATATTAAAGTAACGGAAGAAGATAACTCTAGGCAATCACAAAAAAATCGCACACAAGAAGATCAATTACAAGTTGATGCAAAATTGAAACAACTACTCAATGAAGTCACTTTTATTGGTGCAACTCAAGGAAAAAATCCAGGGAAATCAAAGAGTTGGTCATGTAAGTATTGCGGTGGTATATAAGTTCCTATACTTGAATGCATTACCACTTTTTTGGAGCCCCACCTGGGAAAAAAACAGAAATTAAACGGTGTCAAGCGTTGATGAATAATTTGACTGAATATGCAAAATTGCGAGAAAGAGTACAAAAGGTAGAAAAAATAGGAGTTTCTTCATCCCTGAAAAATTCTACATCGATGAAGCGACAACCTTCACCGACGACGGGATTAATTGAAGATGCATTCAAAATAATAGATCGAGACATGATTGACTTGAAGGTCATGAATGGATTATGTGTTAATGGAATCCCATTCAATGTGTTGAGAAATCCTCAATTCAATGAGATGATTTTAGCTATAAATAGAGGACTTAAAGGTTACAAGGTTCCCAACTATGAAAAAGCAAGAACTACACTATTGGATGAGTGCAAAATAAGTATGAAAAAAGATTTGATTCCTATTAAAGATACATGGTATTCTAATGGGGTATCCATTGTGTCAGATGGGTGGACTAATGTGAAGCATCAACTACTTATTAATATCATTGCTGCAAATAGTCATGAAGCTATGTTTTTATATGCTGAGGATTTTTCAAGTATAGAGAAAACAAGTAAAGCAATTACTGATTTTTTGTTGAAAGCCATTGAAGAAGTAGGTCCACTAAATGTCATTCAAGTGGTGACCGATAACACAACAAATTGCAAACTTGCGGGGAAAGAGGTGCAAAAGGTACACAAACATATATTTTGGTCTCTTTGTGTTGTTCATACTTTGAATCTAATTTTTAAAGACTTTGCAAAGGAATTTGAGTAGTTTAGAAATACTTATAGAAGGGGAAAGTCTAAATTGGAGCTATTAAAAGTGGCTAAAACCAGGTTTGCATCGTATTATATTTTGTTGAAGCAACTTGTTGACTATAGAGAGTCCCTTGCAACTACCATTGTTCTCAAGTCATGGAAAGAATTGGTGAAATTTGGGGATGAACACACAAAGAAGTTAGGTGCTTTGGTTACAGAAACAATTATTAGTGAAAAATTTTGGGAGGATGTGGAGAATATCATAAGTATCACAAAGCCTATATTTTTTCTTATTAAATTTTGTGACGGGGAAGGTCAAAAAATGGGTGAGATTTATGAGAAGATGAACAACATGCTTGGTGAAATAAAAGATATTATGAGGGGTGAAAAACACGATAAATTTTTCCAGATTAAAAAAATTATGCTTGACAGATGGGAGAAGATGAATATTCTTGTACATTGTCTTGAGTTTGCATTAACATCACGATTTTATAATACCCAATATCTTACTAAGCTAGCAACGGGAAGTATAGTTAGAAAAACTCCAAATCAAGATAGAGAGGTCATCATAAGTGTTATGGAAGCTTTTGAAAAGATAGCAGAAGATGTAGAAGAAGCAAAACAATTGAGAGAGCAATATGCACATTTTCACTCCCGAAAGGGTCTTTATGCTATGGCAGCGGCTCAAACAGATGCTGTGACCATGGATGCTATTGATTGGTGGTCCACATATGGTTTAGAAACTCCAGAATTAGCAGAAGTGGCAAAAAAGTTCTAATTTAAATTACAAGTTATTTATTTTTGTTGTTAATTATCTTTATTAATGTGTCTTATTATTTTTTTCATAAAAGGTGTTATCACAACCAATTACAAGTTCTTCAGTTGAAAGAAATTGGAGCACATATTAATTTATTCACAATGTCAAACAGATTGAATTCTACTAGAGCTGACAAATTGAATTTCATCCATTCAAATATTCGTCTCCAATCATGTTTCAGTGAAAGCTACAAAGATGACCCTTTTAAGAAATGAGATATAAATCCAGAGTACACATATATAGATGATTCTAGTGTGAGATTGGAAGATTTGCGATGAAAATCCTTGGAAGATGATAATACATATAGTTCTACCATTGCTGGAGATGAAGATCGGGAACCTTCATCCTTACATGCTTGTCTCTATTGACAAGCCACCTACTAGTTCTAGCAGGCCACCGCTCTGTCATTCTGGACTGCATCAGACTCAAATTAGTAACTTTGCAAGAAGAGGGAACACTGCGAGAGATAAAGGGAAAAAAGTTAACAATTAACTCATGTGCACTAGTTTTTTTTTTTATTATTAAGTAATTTTTATTTGAGACTTGTTAGGTGTTTAAGAGTGTTATTTTGATTTGTGTTTCAAGTAAGAAATTATTTAATCGCTCTCTAGTACGTTATTTTTAAAATTTTAAATCTTTAAATTTATATATTGTCTTTTATTGATAATAAAATATGCAATCATTACTTTTTTATACATGATTATTAGTTTTGTTGGTTTGCATTTTATAATGTATATATTTATATAATTCTTTGTTATAATGAAAACTATTCCAATAATAGTTCAAAGCGAATCGCGACCCAAAATAGCGTACCAGCTAAGTCTATCCCCACCGCAAAAAGTAACGTACCTTGCACCTGTACCCGTACCACGTACCCAATCAACCTGCGATCTAGGTAACCCTAATCCAGATCCAAAGGTTGAAAAGGTGCTAAAAAATATGGAACAGATTTCTTAAACGTGACATCGATACTAGTAAAGTATCTGCGCAAAGAAGGACTGTAGTAACGATACTCCTTCTGCGTACGGGAGTAACCAAGAAATACATATTTGGTAGCTCGAGAGTCAAGTTTGTCAAACTCAGGACCCAAATTGTGAACATAACAATTACATCCAAAAACCTTAGGAGTCAAGAAAAATAAGGGTTTACCAGGAAAAATGATATAATATGAACTTTGCTCATTTAACACAGAAGATGACATACGATTAATAAGATGACAAGCAATAAGAACAACATCACTCCAAAAATATTGGAGAATATTCATCTGGAATAACAGGGCACGAGTGACTTCCAACAAATGACGGTTCTTGCGTTCAGTAACACCTTTTCATGGAGAGGTTTAAGCACAACAAGTCTGATGAATAATGTCAGTTTTACTAAGATAAGCTGAAAAAGAATCAGATTCATATTTCCAAGCATTATCAGAACATAAAGTTCGTATACGACAACCATACTGAGTTTTTATTTCCTTACGAAAGGTCTCAAATATAGAAAATAATTCAGATCGAACTTTCATAAAAAACAAGTCACATGAGAAAAGTCATCCACAAATGTCATAAAATAAGGATATTTTTTATTGGACCCCATACATTAAAATGTACTAACTTAAATGGACTAGACACACGATTATTTACTCTAGACTGAAATGACACACGGTGATGCTTACTAAGTTGACAAGCTTCACAAGACAAAAACGACACATAACTAAGACTGGAAACTTGGCGCTTTAGATTCTGGAGAGAAGAATGTCTAAGACGACAATGCAATTAAAAATGAGACAACGAGGTCTGTAGGGCGCGGATAGGTGAATCAAAGTCAAAGTAATATAGGCCACCAGCTTCATGCCCCGTACCAATCTTCCTCTTCGTCTTGAGATCCTGAAAGACACAATAAGAGGGATAAAAAGTTACAGAACAATTGAGAGAACGAGTAATCTTGTTAATGGAAAATAAACTAAAAAAAAATTGAGGAACAAATAACACAGAAGATAGAGACATAACAAGACTCAAGTAAGTAGTCCCCAGGCCTGAAACTTTAGAACAAGTACCATTAGCAAGAGTAACACTACGTGTGAAAGTAACAGACTGATAAGTAGAAAAAATATCAGATGCACCAGTCATGTGGTCAGAAGCGCCAGAGTCAATGATCCAGGGACTGCGAGTGAAGGACAATAAATAAGTAGAAGCAGTACCTGACTGGGCAAAAATAGCAGTGAGGAAGATGAGATAGCCTGTTGCTGGGATAAAAACTGAGCATACTCATCTCGTGTAATAGTAACTAACCCAGTGTCTAATGGAGCTGACCGAGATACGGAAGCAACAACAGCGGTGTCATCCGGATAGGAAGTCTGATTCGCAGCACCAGAAGGTTTTCAATGTAAATTCCAACAGAAATCAATAGTGTGTCCTCCACGGCTGTAGTGAATACAGGAACGAGGTCCACTACGGCCCCCACGACCACTTGTACAACCACCACAATCTCCTCAATGACCATCACTATGGCTACTAGGAACCACAAAAGCAGAGCGATCAGTGGAGACACCATGATCGATGCCTGAAGTAGAAAAAGTAGTATGCTGTATACGAGAGAAAACCTCAAACAGTGAAGAAAGACTAGAACCACCCAAAATCTGAGAACGAATAGCCTCATATTCAGGTTTCAATCTTACCAAAAACCTCACAACATTCATGTCCTCATGTTGCTTCTACCAAACTGCTACATCAATAGTAAACGGATGGTAGGTCTTCATCTCCTCACAGACTCCCCGAATGTGAGAGTAATAATCTTCAATGCTCAGATTACTCTATTCCAGCCGGAAGTACTCATTGCACACCTCATAAGCTCGGGTAAAATTACCTGTACCAAAATACATAGTGGCCAAGTAATCCCATATCTCTTTGACAGTGTCAAGGTAGAGCAGAGTAGAACTAATATTAGGCTCAATGCTATTCAATAGTAAAGAAATAATTTGAGCGTCTTCTTGTTTCCACTGATTATACCCAGGTGAATCTTCCTTGAGTTTAGGACTCACCAAATATTTCTTAAATCCTTTGCATCGAAGAAAAACTTGAATAGATCGGAACTATAAAGTATAATTGGTCCCATTGAGTTTAACAGAAGTCGTGAGACCATTAATAAGAGTAGAAGGGAGCAAAGATGGAGTAATGGACTTGGTGTCTTGCTTAGGTTCCATAACAGTGCAGCAAATAACAAACAAGAAGTGTTGCAATGCTGAATTAGAAGAAAAGAGACTGTTGGAAGACTAAATCGGACTGAAAAAGAGGGCTGGACCGCTGAACCGGACAGTCTAAGGCCGATGGACCACTGAACAGGGACTAAAAAGGAAGCTGGATACTTAACCAGAGATTTTGAGCCCTCTGAACCCTTGAATCAGACCGGTTTGACTTGCTGGATCACTGAACCGGACCAGTTTGACTTCCTGAACCACTGAACCGGACCAGTTTGACTTCCTGAACCACTGAACTGGAGTAAAAACTGTCAGAACCGGTCTGAACCACAGAGACTAGGCTGAACCAAGACCAAACCGGAATGAATCCAGTCTAAGATGAACCGAGACCAAATCGGTCTTGATCTAGTCTAGGCTGGTGGGCTAGACCCGAAGTGGGTTGGATCAAGACTAGGTTGACCTGAAATGGTCTGGACCCTGTCTTCTTCACTAATTAGGGTTCTAGAGCCCTTCTTCGACTGCGCCTCACCACCACAAGAAGCGGCAACCGACGACGCTTGCCCTTCGACTGCACCTCATCACCATGACAAGCAACGACAGACAACGGCAAAACCACTACAACAGTACCCTATTGCAACGATTGACAAATACCACCACACCAGTCCACAACAGTACCACCACCACACTAGTACCACAACAGTACCAACGAACAAAAAATTAGTTTATGCAGAATATATATTTATGATCGTAACGCTTTGATACCATATTAAGTGTAGAGGATTAACACAATATTAGAGAGAAAGAGAGAGGTTAAAAAACTTAATCTAACTCTCATGCATCACTTGTATTTATAATTAACTCACAATAATAAGAATTACACATACACCCTCTTACTATTAATAATTTACACATACTACCCTAATATTCTTAACAATAATGATTCAGAAGATTCCTGACAAGGAAATTTTCAATGCTAAATGAAGGATTGGCATGTTTAAGGAAAAAAGTTGTTATGCCTCCTATCAGGACAACTAGGACAATGACAACTGCAAAGACGACTAAACACAAATAGTTACAATGCCGCCTCTTTTCGATAGGCAGATTTCGGCGTTGGGCAGCACAGCATGTCCAGGCAGTGGGACGCGATAAATTTGATCTTTGGGAATCTGGACGACAAATGTTGCAGAACCAAAGACAGGCGGTGATGTTTTGGTTAAATGGTTAGGGTTTGCATTCTCTGTAGGTGAAATGGTTGGTTTTCGATCAAGGGGTTATGGTTTCCATCGCAGGGAGGTGGTTCCCGCTCCTCCATGAAAGAGTGAAGGAGAGGGATTGTGGTAAGGGCAATGGGGGATGGATGTGGTGGCTTGCATGGGAAGAGGTAAGAGGTAGTTGCACAACACTGGGAGGTTGAACACAGAGAGAAGATGGTGGAGGAGGGATTTTCTAATCAAAGGGCTATTAATAGATTGTTTAACTGGTCAACTGCCAACTAGATTTACTAAATAAAGGCAATAGGATTAGTTTTCAAGAAACCAGCACACACAACATGCATGAGCCCCTATGGAAAATCTAAAATGGTAGGATATAGACACGGCGAAGACACAGCAACATATGAATGTGTTAAATATACTGAACTTACTGCTCTTTGAAATGGAAGATATTGAATCTGATCAAGCATAAACCCGATCCAAGACGTTAATGCTCTTTTGGGTCGTTCTTGGCAGAGGAAGTATTGCACGCATTTAGAGCAGGCACCAGATGTGCAGATTGCTTAGCAGACAATGGGCAAATCCTGGACATGAGAGAGCATTGGGTAACATCCACCTCAAGAAAGGCAACACAGTCAATGCCACATACGAATGGGAGACCAAGACCACTGATAGAGACTTTTTTGAATCCTTACCTTCTATAAGCTTCAACATTCATGTCTGACTCCAAAAATAAACTAGCAATGTTGATCCAACACCTTACTTCTCTTGATAGAAACATACAGAGCTGGCCCGTGCTTGGGATAAGGAGTTCCAGCCCTGAGCATCCTTCATAGAGGGCAAGACAGTTTACAGAAATCAACAACTGGTACTGTTCCAAGATATTCACGCCCCACCTTGCCAGTTGATAACTGGGAGATAATTTAATAAACACCAGGAAAGGAAGGCAAGGTACCCATCATCCTATCTGGAAGCATTTTGAAAGTACAGTTGCAAGATCTTGCAAGATGGAAGCAGCTCAAAAAAACCAGATTTTGAAATGACGAACCAGAATGCAGGAGTGCCACAAGCAATGAGCATTAGTTTGATGTAAGATAGCCTTGTTGTCTTCCAATAGCAAAACCAACAAGGTAGGCGGGGGCAAGTTATAAACTGTTACAATTCAATACTTCAAACCTATAGGATCCCAAACATGAAATTAAATGCCCAATCAATTTGAAAAGATTCAATTTGGGAATCTCAAACATGAAACTAGGTCTCATAACTTAAATCACAATGGTCAACTTAAGACTAAAGTCCCCACCACCCCAAGAGAATGTGTGTATTTGAAATAGAGGCCTCGACAGAGATTTTCTTTTTGGGGGGAGGGGGTTATTCGAAATTGGCTGTGGGTACTGGGTGCACAAGAATTAAAACTGAAGCAGCAAATTAATACATCAGAAATGTCTCAGTGTAAATGGTGTTATTTCAATTCATCTGAAGAGCACGTATGCAGTATCAATCTGGATAACTAATCACAGTTTCTCAGAGAAGTACATTACATAGATCGAATGGGAAAAAATCATATTACCTGCAGAAAAAGTCTGTCTACACATGCACTTACAAGAGTTAATTCATGAAAAGCCACTGGAACCTAAATAAGAGTGTCAACTGTCAAGTGGATATAATTGGGGATTATTGACCAAGAGCACACATTTCCATTATCTATGAGAACTCTCTAGCTATGTATATTTCACCAACTTCATTTGAATAAGGGAGCACAAACTTTTCAAAGAACTTCTCATCAGTGATCTTGTGTAGCGATGTCAAACTCGGCTTTTTTGGAAGCAATTTCTTATTTTCCAAAACTTCCACAACTCGTAGCCGTGGTTTTAACCTGTTTTTAATACTATAACAAAGCGAATCCGGGTGGTTAACAATAAATGAGATATCAAATTTCCCGGTGGCAAGCAAAAGCTGTGTTACATCCTTAATTTTCCTTTGAGATATGGTAAAAACGTGAGGGTGCCTCTGAAACACAGATCGTATATCAACATCTGACAACCCTAAACTCCGAAAAAGCTCCAATTTAAGTTCCCAATTCTTAACTGTCACTGAGCTCACAGCTCGAATCGCATGGAGAAACATCTTGGAGTTCATATCAAAACCCATTTCATCAACCCTCTTAACGAATTCCTTAATTCTTTCTGGTTTATAAAAGAAAAGCCTCGTAAAGTTGTACAAATGTCTCATTATCTGAGAAGATTTAATTCCAAGACTCTTCATCAATTCAATATTGGGTATCGTACTCTTCTCCAAATCAAGCTGCAAAAACCACCCAGAAATCTTTAAGACCTTAGACACATCTAAACTTGAATCAAACACATTTCTCAACAGCAAAAGGGATGGCCCGAGCCGATTAACCGCGCTGCGCCTCAAAATACAAGGATCCGTCGAAATTATGTCGGCAGTTTCCGTCGGAGAAAAGCCCAAGTCTTGGAAAATCTGGATTTTGGGCTTGATGGCACGATCAAGATTAGCAGAGAGAACATTGGGCCATTTTACTACAACATTTTCGAGATGGATCTTCGAAAATCCACTCGCTTTGAGAAAGAACAGTATAGAATCAGACTTTTCCGGGTTTTTTACACAAGTTAACACAAAGGATACTTTTAAGGCAGTTTCAGGAGAGAATTGGTGTTTATGCAGCAAGTAATCAGCGACTGAAGAGGTGCATTTGGGTTGTTTTCGTGTAGAGGAGGAGAGAGAAAGAGAAAGAAATAGGGATTTTGAGAGCGACTGAGGTAAGATTTCTGCAGATACGCAGAGTCATCTTCTTGGCAAATTGAAAATTAGTTGCCTCTCAAAAATGGAGAGCTTCAAGATTTTCAGACTTGAGAAATTCTCTCTACAAGTCTCTGCAACTCCAAGTCAGCTGTAAAAGCATCAAGCTATGCCCTAATCCCGATTGGATTGTTAGGGATTAGGGTTTTTGCGATGAACCGTTGAGAGTGAAACAGTGGTGTGTAGGTGGCCCATCCATTTGATGCGCCTTGTCATTACATATTTTAGTTTGAATTTTTTCGGAAATTTTTTTTGACTTATTTTTTCAGATTTAAGTGCCTTAAACAAAACTTCTTTGTTTTTTGTCACTTTAGAAGAAAAGTAAAATTTCTTTGTTTTTTGTCACTTTAGAAGAAAAGTAAAAGTACAAATTCAAAACTCTTAAATTTTAAGAGTTTGAACTTTTTTATGTGATGCTATGTCATTTGGACCCTAATAAAGATTTCAAACAATCAAGTGTCAAATCATTTTGACTCTTAATTTGATCTCAAAATTTGATCAACGTAACATTACTCATTATTATATGTATATATAGAAAGAGATGGACAAACTGAGGTTGGAGATGAAAAGCAAGAGCATGACAATGCAGGAGGGTTCTACTATAGAAATCCTCATTAATCTTGGGGTATGCATTCAAATTTTGTATCTTGTTGATTAAGATCTCCATTCCAATGATCCCAAAACTTGCAGGAATTCTTACACTCTTCTCATATCACTGAAATTCAAAACTAAAACATTGCAATGGAAAAAAAAACCCCTAAATTAAACCGTATAATTATGCAAAATTGGATTCAACACCCTGTTGTTCAATTGATCGAATGATTTGAGTTTCAGATACAAGGAGGCGTTTGAGAATTCGTTTTCTAATCAAGAGCTTTTGTCTTAACCCATGTTTTTTTTTATAAAATTTATATCTAAAAGAGAGCCGTTTTCAAACTATTTTTCAAATCTAGACACTTTTAAAAACATTTGATAGAATGACGTTTTTATACCAAAAAACGTTATTTGGAATAACGTTTGTCTAAAAACGACACTTCAACCAATGTTTTAAAAAAGCTTTTATTTTTTAAAAAAGTAACATAAATTTGAGTAGAAATTTAATCAAGAGTTATCCAAATTATTATTTTTTCATATTTAAGTATCATGTAACAAGTTTATGATAAAAAATTATTAACAATCTGGACACTGTCTGCTTGAAAGATCATATAGAAATATATTTAATAATTTAGGGACTAAAATGATGTAATTGAAATAAGAGACTAAAATGAGACAAATTCTATACTTTAGGAACCTCCAGTGCAATTAACCTTTTTTTTGTCCTTTTACGTGGGCATTTCACAGTTATTGTCAGTGAGGGACGACGAGTTTTGAACTCAAGATCATCTATAATATAAAATACAGCAGAATTTAATAAGTTTATTCGACGATTTAAAATATATTCATCTAATGGCTATTAACATCCCTCTCAAAATTATTTACATTGCACCGTATCTTCAAGCACAAATTAAACCCAATGAGATTTAAAAGCAAGACAATGGTTATTAAGTCAACCGCTACCCTCATATCAACGCATTGAGTGTAGTCTGAAAGAGTCCGCTTGTTTAGGGAGATAATGGTAAAAAATGCAATAATAAGAAAATTTTTAAAAGTTTTATGTTTTTAGTTAGCATGAAAAAGAAAAAGATAGAAAAAATATTTTTATTTCATGCTTAGATTTTCTCACAACTAACTATCTTTTTTTCTTGTCAAAAATATAACGAAATACAAGAAAATTGTGATCTATAACTACCTTCCTATTTGACCCTTATTTTTCTTAAAATATTTTATTGATTATTAATTTTAAAAAATCTTGGCGTGAATTTAGTTAACCATATAATTTGGCTCAAAGACCTTCTTGTTGATATTTGTCCTAGGAGTAAGTTACAAGCCACTTTTTAAAAATTTTTTAACTTTCAATTATTATACACATTTTTTTTTCTTCTTTAGACCGATTTAATATAATTAAAAATAATTCAAACAATTATAAAATTTTCCTTGTAACTTTCCTTTCTTTCAAAAAATATAATTTTTTTTTTAAAAATTTCTCTCAAGTTTTTCATGCTAACCAAATACAATGCATGAAAATATATATTCTATTATTTTTTTTCTTTCACTTTATATTCTATTATTTTTACTTTCTATCATTATTTTCTTCATAACCAAACTAACTCTTAGGAAAATCGCATGTGAAGCAGAAAATGGTAATGGTACTTTGCATTCTAGAAGATTTAAGCATTTTTTTACTTTATATTTTTAAAAATTAGATTTCTAAATTATATTCATAATGTATTAAAAATATTATAATGAGACTCTTTATTTGTTTATGGTATTTATTTTGTCAAAATTAATGGGGGTAGTTTTTTGACGAAACGAGCAACAAAATCTAATGGAAAGAGTATATTACAATACTTTTAGTACATTAAAGGTATGATGTGAAAAAATTGCCCATCTAGATAGGCAGATTAAAAGTGTTAATTAGAATACAATTTTTCTAATTTTACAAAATTTGAATTCATTTGTTTTCCCGAAAACCAAAGACATAGAAGTTAATGATTACTAGAACGCAGTAAAAAATATGATAGTTGTTGATGATTTGTCAAATCCTACTGATTTTGATGCTATGTAGGAAGAAATGATATTTAAGGAGAAATATTTATTGTAGTGTATTGATGATCTTCTTCTAACGAGAGAGAGAGAGAGATAGTATAAATTTTAATTTCAATTTAGGAGTGAATTAAGAGATACTAATTTTTAATTTCAGAAATTTATTTAAAACTACTTTTAAGGTTTTTAATGTTTCTATAATTGAACAAAATAATACTTGATGGGTCAAGCCCAAATGGCCCAATCTATGTGAAAAGTCTAAATCCCAATTGAGGAGCCCAATCTCATTAAAGATCCGCTAAGCCCAACATAGTTCAAGACCAGTCAGACTCTCTGCTTAGCCATGTCATCAAGAGAGAGAGCATGTGGGCCTTATCTGCACCACAGAAGGAAACGGTCCACCCTCACCTTATTTTTGACCGCATTTCATGGAGAGTTCCTCAACCATCTCGCCCCGTTGAGAATAAGTCGTGAGTTCCACCGAAATAGTTTCTTAGTTGCTGAAAAATAGCCCCAACCTGTTAGGGGACCACTATAAATTACACACCCCACCAACACTTGGGGGGCATCACACTTTTTGCCTGAGCATGACTCTCTCCTCTCCCTCAAAACTTGTATTCTCTGCTCCCCACACTCTTGAGTTAATAAAGTATCCGACGACCAGAGCCATTCAAGAATGGACGTAGGTCGAGTTGACCGAACCACTATAAATTGCTTGTGTCTCTCCATCTCCATATATTATTTCTTGAATTTATTATTCACACTTGATAAGTGGTGTGCAAAACCATTTTGTGTATCATCAGTTTGACGCAGTCTGTGGGAAACGACAAAATTCTCACTCCTGAACATTCCATTTGTTGAACCAATGACGATTACTACCCGATCCATGAACCAACACGAGAACAATCCACCACGAGAGGAGGAGGTCGCTCCTTCACCTACCAACCCTGTTCCGAATGCTCCAGCTCCAAATCTCCAGTAAATGATGGAGACCATGCAGCAGCTAGTGGCCCAAAACCAACAAATACTATAACTCATGCTCGCTGGACAAAGAGGAACACAACTTGGAGGTGCACAACATAGAAGACCCCAAGGAGCTCCACGTCCTGGACATCAAGGAGCTCCACACCCCTGCTGCTCCATACTAGGCGCCCCCTTTAGAGTCCCCTTGGGCGCCCCACACAGGGGAGCCCCTCATAAGGGAGTTCCACCCCCTCCTGCTGCTGCTGCTTCCCATGGTGAGGACTTTCATCTCCAAGAGAATGAAGGCGAGAACCAAAACATAGAGTATGAGAGTCATTTCCATGATCATTCTAGGGGACCCCTCAACCATTGGGACGAGAAGATCAAGGAAATGCAAATCAATTGGGTGACGTCTTCAATGCCATGAAGGCACAGGGACCCGAGACAATAGACTACTTGGTAAAGTGTACAGACACGCCCTTCAAACCTGACGTGGCGAACTATCCCCTCCCTTAGAAGTTCAAAATGCCATCCGTGGAGACCTTTGACGGAACAAAAGATCCACTAGACCACTTCAACACCTACAAAACTCTGATGCAGCTGCACAATATCCCAGATGAAATCATGTGCAGGGCATTCCCAACCATATTGAAGGGGTCAGCACGACAATGGTTCGCTAAGCTCTCTCCAGCCTTCATCGCCTCCTTTGCTGAGTTGAGTAGGTCATTCATATCACATTTCATTGGGGGGGGCATCGCCATCAGAAGCCTGTCACCCATCTGCTTAGCATAAAGCAAGACTGGGAGGAGAGCCTGAGGAGCTATCTCACTCATTTT